ATTTGTAGATCCTTGACACAATTGACGCAATTATTTGACACAATTAATTGAGTCACTATTAAAACATATAAATAATTAAGTCATAATGTAATTATTTTTAAGAATTTTGGAAATTGAGTCAACAGCAAAAAATTTATACCACATGTATAGGAATAACCAATTTAAAATCTTTTTTACTTTAAAATATAATATTAATACTAATTATTAATATATAATAAAATTATGATTCACTTCAATTAAAGTTTCTATAATATTTTATATTTAGATCAGATTTATTAAATAAGCAATTTTAATTTTTGTTAATTATGTTCTTTAATTTCTTAAGTATATAGTATGGTATAAATTTATTACTTTTGAAATACTATATACAATATAAGTTATTTAAAAATTTTTTTTTTTTTGATTTTACAAATACTTGAACTTTAGCATAAATTGATATTTTTGCAATATGTATAAATATTTGAAATAATTTAATATAATATGTAAAATATTGTTTTTTAATTTTTTTTATTTAAGTATACAAATCATGTTTATCACAATTATGAATAATATGAAATTATTTTAATACATATATTTCATTTTTACTATTTATAATAAGCTTAATAAGTTATAAACTATTTTGTGTTTTATGTTATTTTTTATATAAAAAACCAATATATTACAGTTTTATTAATATTATAAATGTCAAATAAATTGTAATATTTCTTTGTATAAACTATATTTCTTCTTTTTTAAATCCATGTCTTTTATTAATTATATATTTACAATTATTTAAAAAGATTTATAAACATTTAAACTATATATATTATATATAATTATAAAATAATATTAATATTTATTTATTTATTTTAAGTAAATAACAATTATTACATTATTATTTATAAAAATATTAAATATTTTTTTATAAAAAAAAAGTAACAACATTTTTCATATAATTAGTTAATTAATAAATTTAATGTTACTTGACTATAAAATACTAAGTAATAAAAAAAACAAATATTAAAACCAATATATACAGTTCTTTCAATAAATGAAAAATCACTTAAGAATTATTATAATTAATTAATTAATCAGAAATTATTGTTATAGCAAATTTTCTATTTTATTAATACAAATGATATTTATATATTAAATAAAATGGTTTCTCATAATTAATTCTATATATAATTAAATTTTATTAAATTTAAACAAACTTTTATTATTATTTTAATGATTTTATTTGAAATAAAAATTTTTAAATTTTTTTGTCAAAATTTTGACAACCACTCAATTTTTATAATTATTATTTTAACAAGCAATTTGATATTAATAAATTTTGTTTGACATATATTAAAATATTTAAATACTAAGTTTCATAAATTTTCACCAGATATTTAATTTTTATTTAATAGACTGAAAAAAATTTTTTTTAACAAAAATTATAAAATTTAATATTAAATATTTATTCAAATTTAATAAAAACTTTATAGTATATATATTTTATTTTTAAGAATAACATTACTTTAATATATAAAAATAAAATTTAATAATAATAAAATTTTTTTAGATATAACTACTATTATTGGCTATTAGTAAGGCTAGAAATGGCATATATACTGTAGGAGACTTGTTCATCCTTCCCAAATAACATCTGAATTTTTTTGGCTCTTAATGTTTTCATATGCAAGTTTCCCGATGTAATATCAGGTAGATGGTTTAACATTTCATTATATAGTTGTGTTCTAGCAGTTTTATCTGTAACTCCTGTCTCACAACAAATTTCAATAATTTTATTTTCAAAACTATCAAAGTAATAGTGCCAGGATAAGATTTCTTCATGTCTAGCTCGTATTGTATTTTGGAATAAACAGATTAAGTTTTGTGTTGTGATTTGGGATGATTGATGCTCTGTATTCTCAGTGGAAACCGGTGAGATAATGACTCTATTACTTTGCAATTCTTTTGTTAACCCTTGTTCTATACATTGACTTTTAGCGGGCTCAATTTCATCAGGCTCTTCGAACACATGAATTTTATGATTTGGTGACTCGCCCCCTGGTCTTTCCTGTGATAAATGTTCTTTAGATTTTATATTAGGATTCGAAAAGTTTTTTTTCTGATTGTTACGTTTCGTGACGGAAATTTCTTGGTATTTTTCTTTTTCCTTACATGATTTTGTTCGGGAGAGATAGAAGTATCTGAAACTAAGTTCTGCGATCGGTCTTTAGCTGATTCACATTGAAGTTTCTTTTCCCTATTGCGTTGCTTTATCTCGCAACTAACTCTTTCCTCACTTTTCAAATCCAGAAATTCGTCGATCTCTTTATTTTCTACAATTTAGGCTCGGACGAGTATGTATGTATATTGGGAGAAATATCAAATGATACTTCGTGGAGAACAGAATTTTCTAATATGTGTACACCATCACTTTGTGTCTGCTTCTGTTCCAATTTCATGACTCTGTCTCTGAGCTCAGAATTTTTAGCAATGAGATTACTGATGTCTGATTTATTAGCTCCTCGAATCTGGTCTTGAGCTCAGCATTTGTTTTTATTGCTTGCTTTAATTTTGTATTCTCGGCCTTAACCTTAGCGTTCTCCTTTCTAAGTTCAAAAATCTCAACCAAAAGCTTCGAATTTAATTCTTTCAATGAATTGATTTTTAATTGAGTGTCCGACATTGTTTAATATGTTCAAAGTTGATTAAAAATCACATGACTTATAGTGACGGTTTTTGCAAAGAAAAACCAATGATCGATCGGGAAAAATAAAATTCAAGTGTTTTTTACGATAACACATGACTTTTTAATTACATAGCCAGCGTCAAATTATGTGATTATAAAAGAAAGATTTTATTATCTGATCAGTACTCGACCTTCTACTCTTCCAAAATGGATTCTTGGCAATCAATCGTAAAGAAAGCAAAGAAAATTGAACATAAAGTTAATAAAACAGTCCGTAGTTATCCCAAGTTACCAAAATTTTCCTTAGAAGAAAAAAAGTGAGTATGTCCCACGTATATTTCCTCAATATCTGCTTAATGTTGACTTGTACGGTCTAGTTTGCCCTTTCAGATTGGGTCGGAGGTTTCAGTGAAAGATTATAACACTTTTCTTGATCACAACGAATCATGTGGATACAAATTTCATTGGGACAACGGAAACGTATACATTGTTGATATGGCTAACGAAGAACACGAAGTTGTTGTCTCACTGCTTCAACACTGTTTCAAGGCTCCAAACAATGGTGTGAAACGTGGTCCTCCGATAGTGGTCACAGGTCAATCGTGTAAGAGATTCCTTTGGTCTGCTTGATATTTGCCTTTTAATAACAATTCTCATTTTTCCTATAGTTCATTATAATCCATCCGACGTTGCATTAAAAATTGCACCGAGCATCGCAGTTCGCCCAAATACTGCACATGTTCCGAGACCTACCATTCCGCATCCTGGTCCTCCCCCTAGCAATACAAGTGTACTTTGTATATATTATGACATTTATTTATTTTTAAGTCACTTTCCTAATATCGATAATATATTTTGATAGGGTAATCCTCACGCAAGAATAATCTGTGAGGTAACTGTAGCTCAAAGCACTTCTTATTGGGAGGAAAAATGTGAGAATTGGATGAATGAACAATATGTGCGATGCGTATTCGGTATCAAGATTCATAACATAAGGACTGTAAATAGACGCGTTCATCGGTCATGACGGTATGTCTAGCTACTAGCTTTATTATTATACCGTTTTTTCCTGAGAGTTTTAAATATTAGGCTAGGCTATGGACGCGTCAAACACCATCACCACCGGGGAGCACACCAGTAACAGGAATAGCAGGAGTATCTGTCCAAGAGGTTAGATTTATTTACTTTCTATGGTTGAATGTTTAAGGATTAATGTTTAATTTTCACAATATTATAGTGGGATTTCGGCACTCTACAGTTTAATAGTAATAACCCTACCGGTTGCACAGGTCCGAATATTCCTGCATACCAAGTCAATATCCCAGTATCAGATGTTTTCTGGGATCCACCAATTGTTGCGGGAATTCCAAATGTTATTGGGTATACTGTAGCAGTCCCTCCCGCGGTTACTGCCAATAATTTCACCATTGATTTATATGATATTCAACAAAATTTTTTAGAAACACAGTAATGCACGATACATTCATTTTTTAATTTAGTTTGTGAATCATATTAAGCGAAAAAAATAAGATGTATACACAGTTAATCAAAACTTTATTTACAGTAAAAGTAAAAGAACAAACTACCGTTAGGTCGAGTTACTGCATCACGTGATAAAATCTGCATGATGAACGACCTATAACACTACATACTGTATCAATTACTAATTTATTGATATTCTTCACAATATAAAAATTAATTCAAAATTTTTTTTTAATTTTTTAATTATTACTTCGGTTATAATTTTATATAAATTATATTAAACCTGATTTGAATTCAATTGGATAAAAAATTTTAAAATTCATATTAACTTAATTTGTATCTTATTTATGGATTAATCAGATTCAAATAAAAATAGTAATTTAATAGAAATACTAAATAACATGTAAATAATTAATTGTATTTAATTCAAAACCATATTATCGATCAAATTTTCTTTTATAGTAATATAGGAACACATATAATTGCAATTTTTTATTAATTACAATTCCTTATTAATTACAATTTCTTTATTTAATTTGAATATTGATATTGTATTACTGTTAAAAACATATTAATTTAGAAATTGAAAATACAATTTCATTGCATGTATAAATTGCATCAAATAATTGTATCAATTGTATCAAAAATCTATAAATTTTAATAATATATATACTTTGTACCTATTAATTATATATGATTAATACATAATTGATGCCTTATACTAGTTAAAATCTGATTATTCGGCTTGTCAATTATTTGGCATATCTAATTTGGCAATAATTGCTGAATTGCAAATGAATGTTTGACAAATTTTTTTATCATATGCCAAATGATTAACAAGTGACATACTGCCAAATAATCAGATTTCAACTAGTGTTATATAGCATTGCACCAGACTTTACATGTTATGCTCTGATCCTTTACTATTAAATTTATATTAATAATATAAAATTATATATATATATATAGTTTATATCTTTATTTAAATAAAATTATTATACATTAGTTTTCTTGTTGACACTCAATATATCTAAAATTCAACTAACTTTAAAATAAATTATATAAGAATTATATTTTATTATAAGTTATTACTAATAAAAGCAACAATATTTTTTAATTAATTTATTAAGTATCACTAATTTCAAAAAAATCAAATAAACACAAAACTTTTCTATACCTTCCAATTTTAAACTTATAAACTTATTCAATAGAATTTTTTAAATTATCTATCAGAATATTGTGTTTCTTTTTTAATAAAATTAAAGCAAAAGGAAAATAATTTTAGTAGTTAGCTTTGTTAATTCTACTTTATTTAAAATATTTTTTTATCTAAAAAGCTACATAAGAAATTAAAATTTAGAAAATAAAAGAAACCTTATTGGCCAGAATTTATTTTAATATTTTAATACTTATAAAAAGTTAATAATTTAATTTTTTAAATAATACTTGGCTTTAAGTAAAGCTTTGAAAATATTAAACTGATATTGAATTAGGATTAAAATAATATTGATTTACTGTATAGTAAATTTAAGTATTAAAGTAATATTTAAATAATATTATTAGAAGTTCTAGCTTTAAACATAAGCTGCTTATTTAAAAAAGTACAACTTTTTCAAAGTTATCTAAGTATTTTTACTATAAATAAAAATAATAGATATTATTAATAAATTATTACTCTTAATAATAACTCTTTCCAAAATGCATCTATATCTGAATAAAATTATCAAAAAAGGAAATAAAAATTTTTTCTTCAAAAAAAACCACAAAGGATCCTGGAGGGTCTTCTTTATCCTCCAAGGGTCAACCCACTAAACCAACTCACACTCTACTTGATGTCCTTATCATCGATGTTGACAAATGCCTGGCCATAATTTTTCACAAAAACAACAGCACTAATATCATATACACTATTTATTCCACTGTCAACACTCATCTCCTAAAATTCGAAAACTCTTCTAAAGCATGACTGACATCAGTATGTCTCCAAGAAAATGGCCATGAAGTCCTCAAAGTAATCTCAGTCTCCTTTGAAGTACAAAAAAAAAGACTCGAAAACCATTACACTGAAGTCAAAACCAGTATCTTAAATTTTATGTCACTAGAAATAATAAACTCCTTTTTTAAATATCAATACACCTTCTGCTTAACTGACAATGACAAAGAAGGAATCATGAAGGCACTAATCAAACAGAAACTTACCTACAGGCTTCATGTCTCTTGGAACAAAATTGATATCAATATTGATGAAGTAGCCAAAACTTTTTCCTTGGAACGAAAAACCGAAATGCCTATACCTCCTCCAAACACTCCTGTCCTAATTGGAAAAAAGATCAACAACAATAGCATGCAGCTTGATTGTGAAGATGAAACATTACATGTAAGTACCTCTGAACACAATGCCAATCAGTCCAGCCTTCATGCAGCATTATCCAAACACAGCAGCGATCAACTCAGTTTCTGCGCAACTCCAAATAATAGCCCTACAGTACAACATGATACACAAGGACACAACATGCTCACCTATCCCTCCACACATGAGCCACTACAACCAGCCACAGCAAACATGGAAATTGATGAGTATCCCTCCTCAAGCCAATCAGTAGAGACTTTTGAATCCCTTCCTATTGACTGGATGGATGAAACTAACAAACACTTAGACAAAAATCTAACTGAAAAAGACGATGCCAATAGCACTTCTGATATAAGAAATGCTTCACTTAACAAACAGGAAAAGATTTTGCAACTATGTGAGGAACTCAACAAATGTGAAAGAACAATCAAATCTGTAATCAATTTCTTCTTAAAAATCAAAAATGAACTAGTAGACACTCCAAGAACTTCCCTTAAAGAAATCTTTTCAAAAATTAAGTACAAAGACCACAATTTCTTCAGAACATTTGCAAAAGACGAGTTAATCAAAGGCCAACATCAAAAAGAATATGAAAAAATTGAGAGACAATTTCACTCAAACTACTGCCAAGCTAATAATTTGGGATATATCACTAGAACCACATGCAACAAAATCAGAAAATTGATAAATAAGGTCCTTTTTGTCACCTACCTTTGTTCAACAGACCTAGCACTACTCAAGTACTGGCAAGTCACCCAGCTTCTCAAGTATGAATTTAACTTCTTTATTGATCCCACACTCCAAAAAATTGACTACCAAGAGCTTTACAAAACCTACGAAAAACTTATCCAAAAAAACTTATCTGAATTACTCATCGATCTGAGTGAAATTCCTGCTGCAATAAAAATTAGACTTCCCAAAACTGTCCCAATTGTTTCAAGCAAGGACACAAGCAAAATTGTCAGCAGCTTGAGAGCCTTCTATAATTTTGACCTTCTCCCTACCACTTACTTCATCAAAAAACCTGATCTCCCAAACAGACCAATAAATCTCAACCCAGAAGTAGTCCACCTCTTCCCACTCATGGAAAGATACGAGCTTGCAAACCTCAAATTTCGGGTAGACAAACTAAGAGAACACTACTACGTTTCAAGCAAACTGCCAGAATCTTACTTCGATCTTTCTCCACCAAAAGCCCAACTGTTACCATCATTCAAGGAACTACCAATCAACCTTGCAAAACATTTTCCAGTAGATAACACAATAAGGGAATTCAAGAGAGATGTAAAATTGCTTAGAGACAACAATTACGCAGTAAAACGTCTTCCACTCGATTATATCAAAATCAAGCGTCCCCTATCTCCAGTGCATTGGTACAGTGAAAATAATTATGTCCTCCTCCCTGTTACTACACAAGAAGAGACGGATGAACTCATCGAAGACCTAAGCCACAAGTTTTATCTAAAACTCTCTCTAGGCCCCAAGTGGATCAAGGATAACCTCACTCAATCTGACAAACCCAAACTTCCAAAAAACCTTGCCATTGTAGAGGCTGACTTGGATATTTCTAAAGAACAACTCAATAGAGATGCACCAGACTTCAAGCAAACAGTCACAAAAATCAGGAACAAGTATCTAGGTGAAATTTCCAGAGAATGAATCACTCCGTTTCTTCCCAACCTTTTAAGTTTAGAAGAGGCAACTAAGACCCTAACCAATCTAAAAGTCAATTTAAACCTCTTACTAGAGGACAATCTTCACCTGAACGACCATATCAAGACACTTAGCAAATATTTCCACTTTGAAAAATTACCAAATAACTTCATAACTGAACCAGAGTCACCTGAGACAGCGATAACTCTCCTTCCCAATTTAATCTAACAATGAGTACAACCATAAATTAGACCAACTCTCAACCCTCCTTAGACAATATTACCAATATAAACTTCCCATCTATTAATGCATCAAACACACCTCAACAACCTTTATCCTCCTAACTAACTCCAAAAATATCAACAAGAAACTTAATCACCATATCCACGCTCAATGTCCAGGACCTCTTCCAAAGAGGCAAACGTAGTGAACTCACCAAAGCAATTACAAATGATAGATGCATTCTTTGCTGCTCCGAGACAAAGGCATCTTTTAGCAACCCTCTACCAAAAAAAATCAACAATCTCATAGTCATCTTAAGTGTGCCATCAAACAATACCTGCAATGGGGCCTGCATATTCATAACAAAGTCTATTAGCAATCACATCTTTAGCACATTTGCTCAAAACGAATATTGGTGTGCTATCAACCTCAAATTTAAACCAAAAGTCGACATAATAATAATTTCCTGTTATCTGTTACATGAAAAAACAGCAAGGAAGCTTGCAATCACCTTGCTAAGGGACTTTATTAGAGAACATAAAAAAAAACATATTATTTTGGCAGGTGACTTTAATACCTACCCACTCAACTCCCCTGCTATCAATGCCCCAACCACACCACACAAACGATCTATTTACAGATATCTCAATAGATTCATTGATATTGCAAGGGCGACAGACAAGAAAAATTATTTCACTCATATAACCAACACAAGTGCCTCTAGAATTGACCAAATCTGGATTACACATGACCTGGCCAGCAAGATTTTAAATTATAAAGTCATCGAACAAGAAGCTATCTCCACAGATCATATGCAAGTAACTACTATTCTGGATTGGTTCAAATATAAACCAGACAAAATTTCATTTTCCACAAATGTCTATCAGTTTAACAAAGCCTCCAAAGAACAAATACTCGC